GGACATTTCCAAAAATATTTTCTTAAAGAAATATTCAGAGTCTGATATACTTTCTGAACATGGTAATTGTGTGGTTGTTCTTGGTCTTCTAAGGTACATGTAGTAGAATATTTTAAGGTGTGTTACTTTTGTTTATGGTGCATTTGTTTAACTCTGAGGCTTACTGTGCCCCTGTAAAACACCCATGGTCTAATAAAGAACTGGTCAATAGCAAGGCAGGAGAAAGGATAGGTGGGGCTGGAAGGCAGATAGTATATATAGGAGAAAACTAGCTCGAGGAGGCAGAGAAGGAGAAGGAGTCCAGGAGCTGCCACCCGGCTCCACAGCGACCCACAGAGTAAGAGTAAGATTTACAGAAGTTAGAGAATGGGAAAAGCCCAGAGACAAAAGGTAGTCGGAATAAGTTAAGGAAAGTTAGCAAGAAACTAAGCTAAGCTAAGACTGGGCATTCATAAAAAAGAATAAGCCTCCGTGTGTGAATTTACTTGAGAGCTGGGTGGTGCCCCCCCCAAAAAAGAGCCAAAAACCAAACAACAACAAAAAGTACTTACATGTGAGGTTAGAAGATGTATATAGCTCTCAAACAGCTTAAGAAACAAGATAAAATGTTAACCATTAATGAATCTTTAAATAAACCCCGAGCTATCTCTCCAGTCCTCAATCAATCTTGATAACATACAAGGTATCAACATATAGGTGTTAACAACACTGTACCTTTTAAGTTTTATTAAAGTTTCCAAAAATGCAAAATCATATACAAGATACACCCCCACCAAGGAATTATGGAAAGAACCACCTGGTGGGAGCGCACACCTTTAGTCCCAGCACTCAGGAGGCAGAAGCAGGAGGACCTCTGTGAGTTCAGGATTACATAGAGACACTGTCTCCAGCAAAAATAAACAAGCAAAACCCATTTTACATAGTGTGATGGCTGCTATTCTTGGTTATCAACTTGACTACATCTGGAATTAACTAAAATCCAAAAATGGAGGGCACACCAGTGAGTTTGTTTTGTTAATCTGAAGTAGAAAGATCCACTTCTAATCTGGATGTTACAGATCTTGAAATGGGATTCTCTGAATAACCACAGCGAAAGAAAAGGAGAGGAGAGAGGGAGGACACAGAGGGAGGGAGAGGGAGAGTGAATGAGTGAATGAGTGAATGAATGAATGAATGTGTATTTTAGTGACATGTCTACCTTATTGTGAAACTACAAAGCACTACAGGTAGTCAAATAAAAGTAGGATTCCTTCCCGGACCCGCACATCCAGAAGTCGGGTTCGGCTGGTTATGACTCCGCCCTGCGTGGGCCTGAAGATGCTCCTTTTCCCCACCCACACTTAGAGCAGCAGAAAATCCACGCTCCTTAACCGAGCGTCCTAACCCCTTCGCAGTCTACTCTGGGCCTACTTATCTTACGCAGGGGACACTTCTAGCTCCCCCCAGATCATTCACAAAGCCAGGCACGTCGGAAACCAAGCGAGGCTCTGCAAACTCAAAACTCGGTGAACGTGACCACGCGCCAGGCTCCAGCAGACAGGCCGGTAAAAAGCCCAGGTCGCTAAGGAGAAACACCGGCTGGAGCAGAGAGCCAGGGGGGGTCGGGAGAGGGGTCCCTCTCAGCCTCCAGACGTGCAGCGTCGCCCCGCGCTCCCCGCCGCGGTCGCGCCCGAGGGAGGAGGAGGGAGCCCCCGAAGGAGGCCAGCGCCGGAGCCCGGGGACCCTACCTCTCCGCGATGTAAAGGGTGCCGGTGCCGAGCCCCTTCCCGTTCAGCACGGCCTCGGTGTCCGGCTGCTGCAGCCGGAGCCCGTCTTCCGACGTAGGCGGCGGGAAGCTCTTGAGGAAGCTCATTGCGGGTGAAAAGCAGAGGTCCGCCGCAGGACCCGAGGAAGCCGATCCCCACACCCCCAGAGTGCATGAGCTGCTCCGGAAGCCGTCGCCGTACCCCGGAAGAACAACTTCCCTCGGCGCAGGATTCGGCCGGCCGTTGACCATAGAGATGGGACAGTCTAGACGAACCGGAGGTCCGTGGTGAGCTAGCCGGCTTCTGTCACGTGGTACGGCCCCCTCCTTCCCCCCCCAGCTCCTCGGAGGAGGCTTTCGCTGTGGTTCCACTTCAAGGTCATCCCCGCAAACCCTGCGAGGGTATGAGCGATACTGTGCCTTTCCCAGCCAAAGCGGGACGGGCCCAGGACCCGGGCGTCCCTCACCCGAGGAGGACACACAGGAAAGAGAATCCACGCTGCCCTGGAGGTCCGAAGTCTCCCGCTTGGGTGCACGATTCGCCCCTGCGCCCGCCCCAGAGTCCCAGCGCCCCATTCCCCGGGTCACTCCACAGGAGCACAAAGAGGGTGCATTAACTGAAGGAAAGCGCGGCAAGACAGTCAAAAGACAGCGCCGAAAGGAAAGGTGGCCACTGATCCGGAACTCTTGAATTAACGTGCTCGCTAGGCCCCAAAGAGTAAGAGCAGTGAAGACTTAGAGGCTTAGCAAATAGACACCCGTAACCGAGGGCTATGTACCACCCAGCGTAAGCACTTGACCACTTTAATTTCTTCATGGGTTCTTTCTGTTAGTTTTGTTTGTTGGTTCGTTTGTTTTGAGACAGGGCTTCCCTATGCTGCCCAGGCTGGCCTCCAATACCTAATCGACTTGCACCCTACTCTGGGT